GAATATCACTTCTATTTTCTCTATAAATAAAACAATTGTTTTCCAAAATAAAATTAAAATTCAAGTTCTGTCGATGCAAGTTGTAATTATGAAATAAAACACACTATATTTCAAAACAGTCACTAATAAACACATGAAAAACTGTTAGCTTTGCAGAGATTAAAATCAATTTCATTACAGAGAATTAATATAATTTGGTAACATTTGAAATGGGACTGATGCAGAAAGTAAGAAAGCCTGTGATTGCTGGTGAATCACACAGAAAAGCATAGGAAAAGGAACTTGTTCACTGCTCATCCAGTAAAAAGGTTTTTAAATTTAAGTTAATGATATTTTGTGCTTTTATATTAGAGATGAGGAATGTAGATCAGAGATGTGTATACTGAGGATTGCTGATACATACATTATTTAGGAACAAAATTAAAGTTCTTATGAGTTTATAATTTATTACTTTCCCAGTGAATTCTGCATTTATCCATAGTCATGATAAACTGTTTCATTAAAACATCTTCAAATTTGTTAATATGCAATAGGATGAGAAAATTTAAAGTATGAAAATGAAAATCAAAAAAGTTATTTTAATGGGAACCAAGAAGTAGGATATTAAAAATTAACTACAGAACAATGCACACACGGACACTGTCCAGCTGTGACAAGTTTTTTCAAGTGTTAAGCTTCTTCAGAACAAAAATTTATAAACAGATGATACACAGTCCAAGTAACGAGAAAATAATCATGAACCACTGAGAAGAATGCTCTTACTATAAAATCCACAAAACAAAATATTCCTTTAATATGAAACAGTTGCTAAGGTAACTGAATTGATTTAATTTCATTTTACCAGTGATTTGTTAAGTGAGTCTTGGTAGTTTTCTTAGTTTCATTAATAATAATCTGTACGGCCAGCTATGGAGGACAATTAAAGCTATCTCTGCTTTGGAAACACATATACATTTATTATTCTATTGTTTAGTGTTTACTGCTTCTATTCAATACAATGCAAAGAAGAAGTAAATGTGTTATCTCCAACCTGATTGTTTCCACTGTGTTTCCAACTTTTATATCACCTTTGTACTTATTCTTATATCTAATAGTCACCTTTTCAGGCCTATCATTCTAGGTATCTAACCTTACACTACGTCTTTGTGATACTATTAGTTAGCAAAGTACACTTTTCACCAAGCTATTGCTAATATTGTGGCCCAAGGTGCTATAACCAGGGTCCTGAGTTAGTGTAACTTACTTCCTATTTCATGTTTCTCTCACATTCAGATATCAATTCTATGTACGTGGCAGATCTGAATAGGAGAGGTATAAATAATATAAATGTTCTAGAAATGATATAGTAGGTAATGATCTGAAGAGACAAAAAATTGGCAACAAAAAAGCATTCTGCTAAAACTAACCATTTATTTTCTTTTAAAAGAATTAACTAAAAATTTTAAAATATAATCTACACAGTTGGGGATAGAGCTCTATGGAACAGTGCCTATCTGTGTGAGGTTGTGAGTTCAATTCCTGGTATGAAAATAAATAAATACATAAAAATAAATAAATAAATTAAAATAAATAAATGAATAAATCAAATCAAATCAAATGTAACCAACATTACAAGAGAAAGTAAATTTACAACATATATAACACACAATGATTTATATCCAAAATATAGAAAAATCTTTAATTTTACAAAGAAAATAAAAAATCATAAGCAACATATAGTGCATTCTCCTATTTCCAGTGCAAATGAGTACAAATGTCATATAGAGACTTATGAAGTGCTATAAATAACATATTTTATAATATACTAAATGTATATACAATCTATAAGTCCATTAATAAGAAAAATATTTTTATAGGAATGGAAATAAATGAAGTATTAATTAATGTACATAAAAGACAGCAAGGGCTGCTGAAGTAGCTCAGCAATACTGTTCATTCTTAGTATATAGAGAGGTCTTTGGTTTCAAAACATTAAAAATCAAAAGATCAAACATGAATGGTTTGATAAGATCCATAAATGGTGTGAGAATTTCTCTTTTATCATTTAAAGTCTCTAATTTAAAAATGTGCAAAACGAGCATCTGATAAATTTGCCAATAAGAAAGAGATCAGATTTTTCCATTCTGTAGATTGTCCCTTAATTCATCTGTCCTCAAAATCCTAAAAATAGAAATTTGGTTTGACTCAGCTAAACCTGTTATATTCTGAAAGTGTCGAAGAAACTATATTACAGAGATACACATACAACCACCTTGATAGCACCACAACTCATAATAGGTAAATCTCAGAAGTCGCCTGTATGTCCTTCAACAGATAAACAGATAAAGAAATGTGGTATATAATACACAATGGAGCCATAAAGAAAGATACATTTCAATCACTGTAGGAAAAGGAATGAGATCATAATGCTAAGTAAAATAAATCAGACACACAGATTAAATATCCTATGGTTTCTCTTATGTGAAAAATCTAAAGAATAAAAATTAAAAGACCAAAATAAAAGACAGAGTACAAAAAACAGGGAAATAGACTGTGAAAATGGGCAAGACATTTAAAGATAAGGAAATACAGAAAGGGAGTGGAAATTAATGTGAAAAAGAAAAAGATGAAATATGTATATGTATGATATACAAGATAAAAGTAATTATTATGTATCACAAATATATACTAATAAGCTTAAAAACATTTGCATAAAAACAAAGATCATGATCTTTTAAAATTATCATTGTTATTTTAAGTGAAATGATACAATAAAATAAAAAGTAAGAACAAGATAGCAACAAAATGGATTTTTATGATAATAGCTGATTAAAAATCAATAGAGCTGGGCGTGGTGGTTCACATCTATAATCCCAGCATTGTGAAGGCTGAGGCAGGAGGATCCTTGAGAGTTTGATACCAATTTGTTTTACAAAGTGAGTTCAAGGTCAGGCTGAACTGCATAGCCAGACCCTATCTCAAAAAAATCAATCAATCAATCCTTAAAAGAAAGAATGGAAGATAAAATTGAATTAATCTTGATGGACTAAGAAAAGACAGATATTTGGCAAAAAGGGAAAATATGAAAATTAACACCCAAAACATAAGTGTAGGAACAAAGATGATGTAGATGGCATAATTCCTAAATATTCCAGACACCGCAAGTAATGAGTTTCCTTATCAAGAGTTTCTAGTTACACACAAAGAAAGCCACAAGACGTGTTAGGGACACTGGATACAATTACAAATCATACAGACTTCCAAAGAAGACAAGGATATTGGATGAACTGATTAAAAAGATTTTAAGAAAATATTTTTAGTAGCATATGCTTTTTAAGTATACACAAGCCTGATTTTAATAAAAAGTAATTAAATTATAGAAAAGGCAATTACAAATACAGGTAGGAGTAAATAATTGAAAGAAAAATCAATGATCATAAAACAGACAAAGGTTTCCACATAACAATTCTATATTAATAATATTAATATGTGATTTTCATATATTACAATAAGAAAAATATATAAAATTAAAATATATAACAGTATTTTTACCAAATCTCTCTCCATATTACCAAACTTCTGCATGTTTGTGCTTTATCTTGTATTTGAGGCCTTCAAATTTTTCTTTGGTTTTGGAACCGACTAAATCTTTCAGAGCAGAAGTATGGGGAAACTGATAATTCTTCCCTAAGATGCTAACAATGACTAGTATGGAAGTTACAATACTGACAGCATAGTTAATTGTTGTGTATTACATATTGCAAAATACATAAGAGACAAGGTTTTAAATTTTATCCCCATAGGTGACAAATATTTGAGATGATGAATACACTCGGTCTAATTTAATCATTTGACAATGTAGCAAAATACCACATTGTAACATAAAAATATATCTTGGCCTGAGGATGTGGCTCAGTAGTAGAATTCTTGCCTTGCATGAACAAGGCCCTAGGTTTGATTCTCAGCACCATCACAAAAAAGATAAAAATATATCTATGATTTGTCAATTAAAAATAAATGTGAAATTAAATCGGGGTTGGACTAAAAAAAAAAAACATAAAACAGCCCTTTTGCTTCAAGCAAACACGTTAAGATTTCTTTTAAATTTCAGACCTCTGCAAGCTCAGTGTAGGAATGCACCTTCAATCACATTTTCACTTAGCTTCTTCCCTTGTCTTGCTGTCCTTATTGTATAGCTTTCTTTTAAATCTCTTCTTAATCAATCCCTTGTAGTCATTTTTGGCCCAAGATCTAGTACTGGAATAATTCAATATTCTTTTTGTACATTAAGAGAGAGAAATTCAGTAATGACTCTTTAAAAGTTGATTGTCATTTTTTTACTCCTATTATTCAGTAACAAATTTGGTGCCAGATATGGAAAATAATTGATCCCCTTAATAGAAATGATCATATCTCAAGGAAATATGATATTAACCAAATGACCAAGTGTTCACAGTTGCCCTTCTGCTTTAGAGTTAAACAAATTTTCATTTGTCATCTCTGTTTTTTACTACACCTAAACTCTTCTTGTCCCCAAGGATAAATGTGAGTGTGCACGCATGTGCAAGTACATAAACACACACACACACACACACACACACACACAGAAGAATTCGCAGATTTTCCTGGGAATCTTCCTCTTCATTGGAACTTTTTTCCATGTTAGATATCACTGACTACTTTCACTTGTTTGTCCAACTTTTGTTCCTAACATTCTACATATATGTGCTTAACTCTCTTTTATTCCATTAAAAATATTTTTTCTGATTTTATGAGATGAAACATTGCAGATTTCTGAAATGGAATCATTCCTCTACTTCAATTATTCTCTTTTCTTCCCTTTCAACCATCTTTTTGAATACAATTCCTTATTTACTAAGCACTGATTTGCTTGTCTTTGTCAAGATTTCCACCATAAATATATTTTTCTCATTTTAAATATTAAATGCATTTAGCCATATTGGAACATACTTTCCGTTTTTTCTAAACAGTTTTTTTCTCTTCTACTGCATAAAACTTACTTTCCAAGGTCACAGTGTATTTCTGGTATTTCTTTTGTTTTGGGAGATTTAGTAGTTATTTTCAGTAAACACCAGAATTCTTCACTCATTTCAGGCTGAAAAATAATGCTGGGTGAACAGAAATATGCAAAATCTTGTTAGTGATTTTAATTTGTATAATAAACTTTGAAGAAAACACCTCAAATTGATAGAAATACTTGATTTCAAATACAATATTTGATAACTATACTGTGACATATTCTATACTTATGGTGAATATCATTTGAAAATTTTTCACATTTTGGTGGTAGAACTACTTTATTATTCATGAAAAACACTGATGTTCGTATCTATTCAATAAATGTGTGCTGAAATAATACAAAATGTTTAACACATTAGTACTTTAAATGTCTTATGAGATGGATAATAGAAAAAGTCCTGATTTTTAATTGTCATTAAACCAAATTTAGTTTGTTGAATATATGTGCAATTTTCATGAAAGGGTATAAAGTGACATATGGCTCTGGAGAGCCTTCTGTACAATCAGCACGTGCTCAGTTCTGGGACAACAGAGACTATGATAGTCTCACTGAATAACTGAACTAGCAATGCAGCTCTGTTATTTTTATTTATGAATTGTAGCCAACAAATACAGTGAATGTTTGTAGCACCACAAGTCATAAGAGCTAAATCTTGGAAATGCACTACATGTCTATCAACAAAAAAATGTGTAAAGAAAATGAGGAACTGATATACAAAGAAGTACTACGCTATCATAAGAATCTATATCATTTGCAGGACAGTGCTTGCACCTCAAGCCCATAATGTTAAGTGAAATAAATCAGACACGCAAACTTAAATATTGCATGGTTTCCCTTACATGAGATTCACCTTCTCATGTCATTTAATGACAAAATGAAAGACAGATAATAAGAAACTAGCAGACATAATTTTAGCAAATGGGAAGAATACCAAAAGATGGAGGTGGAGAGAGAAGAGCAAGTGCGTATATAAAGAAATGATATATGTTATCACATGTACTAACTCCCTAAAATAAATATAATCACCATGTATTGCAAACATGTACTATTAAAAATTAAAAACTACTAAAAAATTTATTTCAGTAAATGAAACATTTGGTCCTAATCCCATTCAGAATGCTTTCTCTTAATTTAAATACATTTTTAAAAAAAGTTTGTAAACAGTTTTGAATTTCCCTTTCTACATTTTTTTTTAGTTGTGCTGTGAAGGCTGCCTCATCCTGAATGAATGACAAATTTTTACTTTTTATGGCTCTTTTGATTTGGACAGGGACCAGAATCACACAGTACCAGAGCTGCTGAATAATGTGGTTGAGGATAAACGTTAAACTATTTACATGCCTGCCTTTCATTTGGATGTTATTCAGCAGTAGTATTCACCATATATTTGATCACATTTCATAAAAACACTTACATAGCTTGGTTATTAATATTGAAACAAATAAATTTGTTTTAATAAATTTTTGGGTTAACCATTATCATGTGAACCATGTTTATATGTGACATGTATTTGAATATAAAATTCACAGATTTTCAAAATAATAAGCACATTTGTGACTAATCTTTGTGCCAATATTTGCACATGTATAAATGTGTATGAATATGTATGCTTCCAGCATTACATAACATCTATAATTTAGTTTTCTTTATATACTCCAAGTGAATGATTTACATTTGGGAAAAAATATATGGAATAATTTTCATCAAGAAAATACAAGTTGATTTCATAGTCTTCTTGAAATTATTTTCATTTCTTTTAGTTGCACTCAGAAATAATTATATGATAGAAAAATGAATTGAAATAGGAAATCAAAAAAGAAACTTAGGAATACATTTAGTATGCTAACAAATAATTTTGTACTGAAGCAAACCAAAGTTAACCCTAAATTAGTACATTTTATCATAGATAATTGTATTAAACTATAAAAAGAAATAATTTTAAAAGCATAATTTTAAAGATCAACAACAAAATACTGTATAATGCCACACCCAAACCATACCTTTCTTCTTTATAGCCTGTAGTTGCTGGAGAATACCATGCAATGTAGTTAACACTTTCTAATGGATTCAGTGTAAGTTCTTGGAATCCACTCAAGGCAGGATTTGTAAATATTACATCTATGTGAATAATTTCATCTTTTGGATTAGAGATAGGTACTTCAATGCAATTGGTCTCCTAGAATTACAAAACAAGCAGACTCATAATCAGACTTTGCTGTAAGCAGTCCCTTTTCTATGAAGCGAAATGTAAAAAAATTATAAATGTAAAACATATTTTCTTATCCATTGAATATATTTTACCCAATTTTAATCTCTTATGTTTTCCTTGATTAGTCTTGGTAAACAGTGACACTGTTTTTAACAGCACATATACAGAGATCCAAGAAACTAGATAGTAAAAATATTATTTGCAAAATGACATTTAAAGTATACCTTCCTCCAGTGTCATTATTATTATAGGGAATATTTTTCAGTATTTCCTTTGGCAGTAATTTGATAACAGCATCATATTGCAGAGTTTACTAATTTTTGCTAACAATTTGATGTAGTCTATAAAACATTTATTAAGACTTAGCTTCCTAGGCTGGTTACAAGGGTCAAATAAATCAAACCTAAGCAGGGAGGACGTGTCAGGATTACAAAATACCATCAGTTTTGGTCTAGGAATTCTGCTTTCGGCTTACAATAGAAAAATGAAATAAAACATTTTGGCCTAGACTTTACCCTGGTATACTACTTAAATATTTTTCAGAGATCATAGTCAGCTCAAGAAAATACTAGAGTCTTTCAGAGGAGCAAAAGCTCTATAGTTTAAACCACTTATTTTCCAATGTGTTTTATCACAACCCAGACTAATTAAATTGACATTAGACTGTCAATATGTATACATAAAATGTTTTATAGAATAATCCTGTTCTTACATGTGTGATGTTCTTTGATACTTTGCAGTATCTCCTTTTCTATTGTATTTCTTAAAAGTAGTGCTAGTTTTGGTCCACCCACATATTGAGACTTGTGCATTAGACCTTTAGAATTGATCCACAGAGAAAGAAACTACTGAAATATGAAATTGTTTTAGACATTATCATTGCATGTAAGCTTACAACACGAAGAAAACAATTTAAACGTAGTATTTCTCTGTGAAATGTAACCCATCTAACAAGAACAAACCCTCATGTTACACAGGAGTTACAACATTCTATAGTTGGTTGGAAATTATGAACAGGTAATGGAGATAACAGCTGTGAGGCACATATGTCTCATCCCCTGACTGGCATCCATGCCGTAACTGTGGCAAGTACCACTAATTGACCACCCTTCTATTTTCCAGAAGGTCTGGTCACAACTTCAAAATGCTGCACAGAGCAGCCTTCAGAAAGCAACCTTTGAATGATACGCACTACGATATTTTGAAAAGCTCCAGAATCTAGTTCTCAGGAGTCTTGAAAACAGCGATAGAATCAACAGAAACAAATGATTCATTACAGTCAAAAGATTTCTATTAATGTCTTATATTTTGAATATTTATAGAAAATATTTCAAGTGTAACTATATCATAAAGTAATTTTGAAGTTTCCTTAAGGATTGAATACTATTTTCATTCAGTTAAACAGTATGCGATACACATACAACTCCTTATGATATATTCCTTCATTAGGTGCCATAAACATGTACTGCTAAAACAACAAACTTAAACACACAAAAATGTCATATATTTGACTTCTAAAATATTACATTACATAGATAATCTTAACTTAACATATCTATTTGCCAAAATATTATCAAAATTAATATTTTAATTATCAATATTTGAAGGCTATATCATTTTATAGTTTAGAAGAGCTGATATGTTCAATAAGAAAAAATTGTTAGTCATTTTATGAGATCATCAAAATTTATACACTTATTTTTGAAATATCTCTTTTATTTGACCTGTATAACTTCAGAAATGTAAAATCATCTGGAGCAATTACTACAAAAAACAAAACATATAAAACAAACTATATACACAAAATGGCTTATTGTCTTGTTGAATGTATCATGCCATATATCCAATTTTTGAAAAATAACTCTTACTTGATGAATTCAGTTATTTCCATTTATGTGAATGTTTCATACAAAAGTTTGAAATATTTGGCTATTAGATGCCTTGCTAATAGCATATTCTTCTATCCTGATGAGTAAGTTTTTAAGTTTAATTATATTTAGAATGAAGTGAACTACAAATCAATTTAACAGAGATTTTTGAAACACAAGTAAAATAGTAATGACCTCACATGGGTACTTCTAAAACATGTCTTTCAACTTCATGTGGTTTCTCTTAGATTTAAAAGTAGAAATCCTTGCTTTAAAAGCTTTTTTGTTCATAATATCATCACTGTGTAAACTTATCTCATTTATTCACTTTATTGCAATGCAAGCCCTAGATGGATTAAACTTGGTGGAGTGGAATCTGAAGCGTGTCACCCACTAAGACTCTTCAAGAAAGCAGTGAAAGTCTTGCCTTTGTCTACCTTCTTTTGGAATCTCAAGATAGTTCATGGTGTGAAAGGATTTCATTTTGAGAGATTTCTCCTAATAAAAACTTAATCTATATTTTGATCTCTTACCCAATTAAATTTTTTTTCTAGTTTCCTCCGTTTGGCACCCCACTCTCACCTTTAGGATTACTGAATAATTTCTCAGACAAATTTTAGGGAAGAAGGTATGCATGACTTGCACTTTTGAACTCCACTGTGTCCTTAGTTCTTTCTCTTTTTCCTGCAATAATTTTTCTAAAATGGCTGCTTCAAGATACAAACAGATGAAAAGTAAGAGGATACATAAGATTCCTTGCTGCTGGTTCAGCTCAAGTTGACTTCTGAGGCTCCCTTTTATCTCCTCTATTTTGCATCACTTTATGTAGATTATTTCACCTGCTGTCTTTACACAATAAAATAATATATCGTGAGCTAGCACCTTGACAAACAGACCAGGATCAGGATCTTTCTATAATTTCAAATTCATTTTGTCCCAGGAAGTTTCATCTTATGACAGTGGAAATGCTTCTTGCTTTTGATCTTGTCATATTTGTTTAGTTTGTGGTACATTTTTATTGATTGGAACTCACCAAAGTCCAGGATATATTAACTGTCAGTGTCTGCTTCACTGCCATTATCTTGTGCTTTGTCAGTAACATATATTGGTTAGAAATGGATGATAGGCTAATGATTTATCATTTCCTTGAATAAACAGTAACTGTCATCTCTAAGAGGTGCACTAGAGAAACTAAAGGTGGAGTGCAATCTGATGAATTTCACTCACTATTTGTGTGCCTTTCATTCATAGAATGAAAATGACACCAAGTAGCAACTTCCAACATTTTCAAGGTCTCTTGCATCTTGGTATAGCTGTACTATTAGTTCTTTCTAATGGTAAGCGAGTTCAAGTGATGTATTACACATATGTAAAGGCAATTGAGAAATTACAGGAAGTTATTATCTTCTCTTGGTTTGCTCTTTCTCTTATGAATTTAGAAGAGCTTCGGAGTTCATAAAGGATGAAAGAATCATAAAATAGAAAAATTTGTCTCTCTGAATCACAGCGTGAATAACACAATCCACCAACATGTGCACATAAATCTCTTGTTATATTAAGCAGTTGAAAACCTGGGGAGTATTTGTTAAATCAGCCTGAAGTATCTAATGTTTGCTAACAAAGAGAGACACTTAAATGGTATAGAAATTCTTTTTATAGCATGGAAATTGAATTATCTATAGTTTTCACATCTGTGGCTCTATGTGGAATTCCAATACATCAGAAAAATTTCTTATGAAATAATATCATTTCAATTATTTTGTCACTCTGATTTCTAATCCATTAGAATCTTAGCTCCTTATCAATGGAGTTCTTAATACCATTGTTCATCACTATCACTCAGTATCTAGCACAGTGCAACTGATAACAGAATAAATACACACTGAAGAATAAAATTTATAATCTATAAAAAAGATTTTTTGTTTTTATATCAATAAATTATTAATTGATATTCTGTATATATAAGTAATATAATTATTACTGATATTCTGGATAGGCATAATTTGCATATAAATAATAAAGCATCCATATGAGGCCATGACTCAGCATGAGTCTGACAGTCTCAAGTTAACACAGGCTGGGCTGACTTCTTGCTTGAAAGCTACTGAGTGACAGCAGCAGCTTCGATGGGAGAAAAGCTTCTTCATCATATTGTTTTATCACTTGGATAATTTTGTCACTTGCTTGCTAGTTCACATCTTATGCGAGAGGAAAAAATTAATTCACTGAGTATTTGCACTGAAAACTTTATCACATCCTGCTGGATTCAAGTAAATAAAGTCTAGCATTTCACCCATAAAATTTAATTACGTCAATGACAATTCAATATCCGCTGGCAGGAAATATTTTTCAGCAGATCATTTCTCAGAAGATAATCATGAGTTCATTATAAAAGGATTATTTCTGAGGTACAAAACACACAAAATATTAGTTTACATAAATTGTGTTATTGGAGAAATCATTTTGAATTTTATTGAATTTTCAAACATGACTAAGTCAACAAACTGAACTAACAAGCATTTTGAAAATATCATACAATTTAGAAGTAAAATATAAATGTGTCTCAATCATTTTGCTAAATTGAAAACCCAATTCCAGTAGTTTGGAACTCAGAGAATTCAGAGCCATCAGTAAATCATAAAAGCCACATTTAGCTGGGCATAGTGGTGCTCACAGGTAATCCCAGTACTATAGAGGCTGAAACAGGAAGGTTGCTGTGAGTTTGAGCCTAGCCTGGGCTATATGGTGAGTTAGAAGGCAGCCTGAACTATGTAGAGAGATTCTGTTGAAGAATGAAAAAGAAAGAAAGAAGGAAGGAAAGAAAGAAGGAAAGAAAGAAAGAAAGAAAGAAAAACAGAGAAGTGCCACTGTTGCCATTGCCACTACATCTACTGAATTCTTGTCCCTTATTTTATCTCTTACCCTTAATCCACTATCAGACCAGAAACACACAGAACGCACAGGTGCCGAAAAGGCTGGTTGCCTATGCCCAGCTGAGGGAGTTGTGGCTTGAAGATGCCTTAATAGTTACCTAGCAGTTTTGAAGAGGCCAAAAACAAAAACTAACAAACAAGCAAAAAACAAGAGGAACTCATAGTT